TATAATATATATATATATATATATATAATATAGGGGGTGGTAGGAGAAAATTCTCAAACAGCTTCAGGGAGAATCTTGAGTTTTCCCTGAAGCAAGTTTATTCTTTTCTCTGAGGATGAGGGTCCCCAGGACAGTTCTAGAGGTGGTACCTCCCTATATTTTATATATATATATATATATATATATATATATATATATATATATATATATATTTATAATATATATATATATATATATATATATATATATATATATATGTATATATATTATATATATATATATATATATATATATATATATATATATATATATATATATATATATATATATTTATATATACGTATATATGGGTAAATAGCAGTTACTCGTAGGTGTAGTTGCTCAGAAATTCTAGTAAGAAGAGATGTGTGCCTGGTGATGTGTTGTAGGCATATGGTTTTAATAAAGCTGTTGTTGGAACAAGGAAGTGGAAGGGCTCACTATCCCTTCCAGGAGGGCTGAGGGGGCTAATAGTTACCACCTCCCATTTGAAACTGGAAATTTTTCGTCACACTGGGGGGCGGGCAAAGTTTTCCATAGGTGAACTATTCATCTCTTAACATCATTTTGATTTTCTCCCTGGCCACCACGGTTGATTGTCTTTTCCTAACAACTTTAGTCTACTGGGTTTCTTGAGAATCACTAAGTTTGTTTTCAGCACTGTAATTCTAATGGCATTTGTTTATCTATTATCCGCTTGTTCACTACACCTTTGCGAAGAACTTCAACTGTCCTGATCGCTATTTTTCCTAAAGGCCACTGAGACCTTGGACCATCATTGTCAATAATCTCTGTCACCAAGTTTCAAGGACACATGATTTTCCGGAACTTCAGCTCCATAGAAGTGTTCTCTTAGTGAGGTGAGATAGTCTTCTCAGCAGATTTTCTCCCGGCATTTAATCACTTTATTGAGGTGTTTGAATTTACATCTGAGTTACTCAGGTTTAAGACAGGTAGGATAATCAATTATCTCTTCATTATTCATAGGAGGAACTGGTTCAAGCCATCTGCTGTGGAGTAAATGAGACGGATTTAACTTTTCCAAATTGTCCAGATCACCAACATCATAAGTTAGAGGTCTCTTATTGACTATTTTCTACTTCTGTCACGATTTCAAAATTCTTGTAAGTCAGTTTGCTGATGATGAATAGTCTTCCTTAAGCAATGTTTCATGCCACCGAGCATTCTCTCATAAAATCCGCCTTACCGAGGAACTTTGGAAGGAATGTGTCTCCAGCGACAACTGCGTTGATTCAGCATCTGTCGTACCTCTGGCTGATCAAAGATTTTGCATATTTAAACAGCACCAGCAACAAAGTTCTTTGCATTGTCTGAAATTATCAGTCTGGGACTTGCCCTTCTGGCTGCAAACCTGAATAGTTTGATAAAGGTTTCAGTAGACATGTCAGTGGCTACTTCTAGATGTACTGCTCTGGCCGTAGCACAGGCAAACAAACAGATGTACACACTGACAAAGTGATGACATGTGATGCAATCCCTTACTTGTTTTTTCACATTTTGTCGACCTTGAGGTATCCAGTAAGATTGTCGTATTTGACAAAAAGTGTCAGCTACTCCACCATGTAACAAGTTACTGTGGGCATTTTCAACAATTAGTTTTGTCAGCCAATGATTTCTTGGGATCAATATTGGATGTATTGCTTATTAGATAGTAAAGAATTTTAAATTCTTCCACGATATCTTAGAATCTTTTCTGAGTCAACATAAAGTCATTAAGAGCAAATGATATTAGGTTTCTTTTGGGATTTATCCTGAGTTTCCAGAAATCTGTACTACGTAGAGAAGACATCTTTCTGTATTTGTTGTATCCAATATTTGATGGGTTCAGGAAATTCACAATTAGGCTTTGTCCCTTTAATGAATCTGAAAACAAGAGCTGTGTTCAAGCTTACTGTTTCTTTTGGCATAATGTGAGCTTTTTGCTGAAGCCAGTTAATTTCATTAGAGAGCCAGTTCGATTCGTTGAGCCATAATTTATTATCCACAAATTTCTTGAGTAGGACACCACGTGACAACATGTCAACTGGATTCTCTTGGGTAGAGACGTGGAGAAAGAGTCTCTATGCATCTCTCTTATTTCTGCTACTCTATTTTGTACATAGACCAACTTGTTATTTCGAAACCACTGGAGAACTGCTTCATTATCACTCAATTGTGGTACTGTTCTGACCTTTAAGGATGCCTACCCTGGCCTTAGAAGTAATTAATAAACTTCCTTCAGCATTACTCATGTAAGCTACAGCGCCATAACCCCTGGTTGACGCATCACAGAACACATGTAATGTGTACTTGTTTCCCTCTTGACCTATTTGTCTGGGAAATTAAATTTGATGAAGTTGTTTAAACTCCTTGGATATTTCATCTCATGCTTGACACATTGCAAGAGGTAAGTTCTCATCCCAGCCTAATTTGAGCTTCCATGTATCTTGCACAAGCATTTTACCTTTATTGGTAATTGGTGAGACAAGTCCTAGAGGATCAAAACAGTGGGATACCTCTGACAGTAAACTACGTTTGGTGAGTCTACTGCTTGGTTTATCGTTTATTCTTTTGAGACTCAAAGTGTCTTCCTGTGTGTTACAATTAAGTCCCAGCATATTGTTGCAATCAGGAACTTCAGCTTCAGGGAAATTTTGATAGTTCTTAATTGAGTTGAATTAGTATTCCATATCCATAGAGGCATAATTGCTTCTATTATCTCCCTGTTAGCTGCTCTGTATAAGGATTTCAAATCCTCCTCTTTATTCACAGTACCTTAAAGATTGTCCACATAGAAACTTTTATTTAAGGTTTGTTTGAAGGGACTTCCAGACGTGTATTTAGAGTAGCTTCTAGTAAGAATGGAGAGGATGTTGCACCAAATAAAACTGATTTGAAACGATATGTTTCCATAGGACTTTGAGAGCCATGTGGATTTTCCGGCGACAAGAAACGAGTATAATCTCTTCTATTTCTTGTAGGCCTACTCTTAACGTAGCCAATCCAAGGCCAATGTGATAACATCGCTACTTATTGCCGGTGATGGATGAATTTATGATAAGGATTATTATGGTTCTTGACAGCGTTCACTTGACTACTGACATCACCTTGGATTATAGCACTTAATTTGGAGGTGTAAAGCTCTGAAGAATAGGAATGTTAATATCCTTTCTCTCACAACCATGTTGAACAAGGTGATCATTCACCTTGTACTATTGGTATCTTATGTGTTGAAAACACAACCTTGTGATCAGATGAGCCAATATAATTATGAGATTTGCAAGTGAATTGTACCTCTAGGTAAATCACTTACTATGTCGAGGAAGGAGCCAAAAATATGAGTAAGGATATCAACAAGTTTTTTTCATGTCAGACACTACGAGAAGTTTATCCATATTATTCTGTATATGATGCAAATGTTTGAAGTAGAAGGGAGTGTAGATGTTTACATAATTAGTACACACTATTTCGGAGACAGTAGTGTTTATACAATGCCTGAGGAACATAATTTCCAGGTAATTTGGTATAACAGATTTAATGAGCTGGGCGTATATACTTTTTTTCTAAATCACTAGTCAATGTTGCGTCCATGAACGTGTCTGTCTTGGCATGTCCATAACGTGCACCTAACAATTTTAGAAAATACACCTTAACAGGGGCAATTAATTCACGACTATGAGCGATTGTGAACTGTTTGGGATCTCACCGACAATGGTATCTCTTTCTCAATCTCTCTCTGTCTCTCACTCTCTCTCTCTCTCTCTCTCTCTCTCTCTCTTCTCTCTTTCTCTTTTAAACAAGGGTTTCACAAGGTTAAGTTAAGGGTTCCTAACTTTATTTACAAGCTAATTTTAAAAATCTCTATTACTGTTATGAGACATACAAATAGGAAATAGGATGAAGCTGTAGCCAACTGTGGGCCAGTGACTTCACTTGGTCAACAGATTTTATTTCGCGATGTCATTATGTTGTACGAACACCCTCCAGACTTGAGTCATCCTTGATATAAATGATCTCAGATGAAGTGATGTTCTGCAGAAGGGTACAACTAAGTGTAGTTGCTGTTTGCTGCTCGTCCTGTTGTGTAGAAGGTTATTCTCAGTCCGTAGAGTGGAGCCAAGTATGGTAGTTTGACAATATTGGCCTTGTACATACATAACCGACCCAACCTCCGTGTGAAGGTTTTGCTTTTATCTGTGGCGGGTAATATTTGTGTATTGTGTGCAAAAAGGCATATAAAGGTTAAAATAGACCCAGGGTACCCATACTTTGCCTCGTCAATCTGAACCATCTCCTATTACAATAATAGTCTATGAGACCCTCTCATATGGGTTTCAAGAACAAATTGATTCCTCACATCAGTTTTCAACAACCCAAAACTGATAATACCTCCTAATCTTAATTGATGCAACAATAAAAGCACTGGTATTTCTTCTCAAGAACAAATGTCTGCACGATTTAAAACTGGGATACTCTGCGGATTGATGAAGTATACAGCTGATTCTTCTCATAAACACACGGGCTTTACGAAGAGATACCAAAATTCCATCTGGGACACTTCCTTGCACTAATATAGAGTGATTTGCTGAGAACAGCGCTTAGAGATCTACCTTGAAGGTAACAAAAGTCAATGGTATCATATTATGTCGAAAGCAATATCACTCTCCAGTCATACTACACAGCTGCCCTTAGATTCATCCACTGACTGGTCTCTCTCTCTCTCTCTCTCTCTCTCTCTTCTCTCTCTCTCTCTCTCTCTCTCTCTCTCTCTCTCTCTCTCTCTCTCTCTCTCTCTCTCTCTATCTCTATCTATCTATCTATCTATCTATCTATCTATCCATCTGTCTATCTATCTATCTCTGTTTCTCTTTTTTTTTTACCTCAGACTTCCTCCCCTCTCATTTCACTTTCTCTCTTTGTAACTTTCTCCCTTCTTGCACTCCTTCACCTCATTGGCTTACCTGACATCCCTCCCTCAGGCGGGTGCGTTGAAGCATATTCCCTTGTGCTTCTGCTGGAGTGTTGGTGAGGGTGGTGGTGATTCCTTCTGCTCCACACACAGCGCATCCCCGCCAACCCCACCATCAACGCCACCAATACCACTACGCCCACCAACACCGCTCTGGCTATTGGCCCGGCTTCACCACCTTCTTCTACCTGTTCGTCACCTAAACACAGTGTTATTATTATTATTAATATTATCGTTTTTATTATTGCCGTAATTATTATAATTCGTATTAAGAACATAAAGAAGAAACACTGCAGCAGGCCTACTGGTCAAAGTTAAGCAAGTGTAGCTCACATCCACCCACACACGTTCATGTACCTGACTCACGAAATCGTAATGACACGATCGCAGGTTCTAGCCCTACCCGTATGTGTTTTTTTTTCATATTCATGTACCTGTCTAACTTATTTTTAAAGCTACTCAATATTTTAGATTCAACTGTTTCTCTCGGGAATTTGTTCACTCATCCACAACGCTATTACCAATCCAATGTTTTCCAATATCCTTTCTAAATCTATTCTTTTTCTAAACTGAACCCACTGCTGCGGCTAGAAATTTTTAACACGTTATTTACATCCCCTTTATTTATTCCTATTTTCCATTTATACACCTCAATCATATTCCCCTCTAATTCTATGCCTTTCTACACAGTACAGTTTCAGGGCCCTAAGTCTATCCTCGTAGGAAAGATTTCTGATACATGGGATAAACTTTGTCGTCCGTCTCTGTAGGTTTTCCAGTGCATTTATGCCTATTCTGTTATACGGTGAACAGAACTGTGCAGCATAATCTAACAGATGCCTAGCGAATGCTAGAGCTGAAGAATAACCTGAGGACTCCTGTTATTTATAATTCTTGATATAAAGCCAAGAATTCTATTCGTTATAGTCGTCAGAATTAATCTGATGGAGTATTTTGGTGTTGTCGGCAAACTTGTTTATATCTCTATTTATTTCCTCATCTAAATCGTTTATGTATATTGTGAACAACAAAGGGCCCAACACTGATCCCTATGGAACACCGCTTGTTATGGCTCTCCAATCTGATTTCTCCCCATTTATGCAAACTCTCTGTTGCCTATCCGTCAATCATGCCTCCATCCAGGAAACAATTTCTCCTCCTATTCCGCGTTCCTCTACTTTCTTTAACAGTCTTCGATGTGAATCTCTATTTGAAATCTACCTGAAGTCTATGAGCAATATTATTTTCATTACCATGATCTACTTCCTCAAATATCTTAGGGAAAAGTTGGTAAATTCTTAAGGCAGTAACGCCAATTTGTGAAACCGCTATGAGATTTATTGAACCCAGGATGATACATTGTGCAGACAAGGTAAATTGACAAGTATCCAAACACTTATTTCCTCTTCTCAGTGTGCAGAAAATAGGTTCCTGACTATTATCAAGCTGTTGTGGGTTGTTTCATAGGTAAGGTAGTCGCTTGACCCCAGCGACTATCTTGTGTTATTCTTGTGTTATTCAGAGCTGCTAACCTTAGCGGTAAATAATCCATATAAAATCCTCTCTCCAACAATATTTACAGCTCATTGACCCAATGATACTAGTAATTACTTTACTCACACACTCAATTATTGTTAAACATTAGTTTAGAAATATATCACTAATAAAAGACCATAGAGAATAATTTATTTCACCAACTCAGTGCCCAGGAAATAAGCTGCAAGAAACAGCTGAATATAAAACAAAGGAGTTGCAGATGAATTAATTAATGTCACAATCATAATTAAAATTAAAGAAAAATATGAAATGCCACAATATATATATTATATATATATATATATATAATATATATATATATATATATATATATATATATATATATATATATATATATATAATATATATATATAAACAGAAGAGTGACGTAGGCCTCGAGGCTTTGCTCACTGCATGTCGCATGTACTTTTCCCTTTTCGTTTTTTCTCCCTCTTCTATATATAATTTACCCTTACTTAGGGATGCCTCGTTAAAACGAAAGTTTTCATTGACTGTTGTTGCAGTACACCCCATTGACAAATTCCGGTTTTTCTCTTCCTTGGCTTCGAAACGCCCACGATGACAGACCATTTTACTGCTGCTTCGAAAATCTCACAACTAGTGATTTATGGTCTTCAGAGTGGATCAACTCGTGGATCCACTATGAAGACCATAAATCCACTATGCACTATGCACCATAAATCCACTATGCACTATGAAGTGGATCCACTATTCAGTAGATCCACTTCATAGTGGATCCACTGCAGCAAACAGCCTGCTTGCTGCAGGCTGTTTGCTGCAGCCTGCTTGCTGCAGGTTCATGAAGACTGTCCTCTGTCTTTTCCATGATATATTTTCTAGTCGTTATGTTGAGTAATAAAGGAACGTGACTTATACATTCACACAACATATTTGCACAATAAAAGCAACAATGAAAACAATAACGATAATAACAGTGAAACCGGCAAAAAGCAGACCAAAGTAAGTACATTTACAAAAAAAAAGAAGTTACGGCAACAACAATAACATGATGAATAACAACACCATTTTTCCCATAATTAACATAGCTACAGGTATTATACACTTACGCATTCGGTTCTCAGCCATTTTGTACGTAAATGCTTCCAGCTTCACAGGGTCGGAGCTGCCAAGTACGTTCCTGGCGACAACTTGTATGATGTAATCAAGACCAGGAGTCAAGCCTTCCAGGGTAAAGTTTGGCCATTTGGAGGTGACGTTGACCTGACTCCGACCTGTGACTGCCTCAAAGACCTTTTTAGGAGAAATGAAGGTGATCGGAATGAGACATCGGGTTAGAGTACGGGAAGAGTAAATGTATGTTTTTGATTTCCTATTACTGGAGGTTACTGGAACCGAGTTAGGTGTGTGTGTGTGTGTGTGTGTGTGTGTGTGTGTGTGTGTGTGTGTGTGTGTGTGTGTGTGTGTGTGTGTGTGTATGTGTGTGTGTGTGTGTGTGTGTGTGTGTGTGTGTGGTGTAGTTTTACTTTCCTTAAGATTTGCCCCCCAAAAATTGCCTAACTTATCTTTCTGATAAATAATTAGATGAGCATTTAAAGAGACGCGAAATTTTAATACAGCTTTAAAAATTACTTCTGTAAGGAGTTGGTGTTATAATGTGCGTTTATCTCGTTCAGATTATGTAGATTTCTTATTGACAGACGGCTCTTCCATCACAATCTTATTGACAGACGGCTCTTCCATCACAATCTTATTGACAGACGGCTCTTCCATCACAATCTTACTGACAGACGGCCCTTCCATCACAATCTTATTGACAGACGGCTTCCATCACAATCTTATTGACAGACGGCCCTTCCATCACAATCTTATTGACAGACGGCTCTTCCATCACAATCTTATTGACAGACGGCTCTTCCATCACAATCTTATTGACAGACGGCCTCCATCACAATCTATGACAGACGGCCCTTCCATCACAATCTTATTGACAGACGGCCCTTCCATCACAGTCTTACTGACAGACGGCCCTTCCATCACAATCTTATTGACAGACGGCCCTTCCATCACAGTCTTACTGACAGACGGCCCTTCCATCACAATCTTATTGACAGACGGCCCTTCCATCACAGTCTTATTGAGAGACGGCTCTTCCATCACAATCTTATTGAGAGACGGCCCTTCCATCACAATCTTATTGACAGACGGCCCTTCCATTACAATCTTACTGACAGACGGCCCTTCCATCACAATCTTATTGACAGACGGCCCTTCCATCACAATCTTATTGACAGACGGCCTCCATTAAATCTTACTGACAGACGGCCCTTCCATCACAATCTTATTGACAGACGGCCCTTCCATCACAATCTTATTGACAGACGAGAGTGGTTCTGTGTCATATCAAAACATTAAAGATCCATTAATTTCGCTGTTACTCATCCTACGTACTGGCTACGAATTTTGACATTCCAGTATATATAACATTGCAAAGGTGACTGTTGGAAGTGGCTTAATTTACAAAAAAAAAAAAATAGATATGTGTAAGTCACTGATATACCAAAAAAAAAGAGGCATCTGATTATAATTTTATTGATACTACACAGAGAGTAAATGTCGTCTCCGGTTCAGTGTTATGGAAATATTAGGTCGTGTGTCAGGAATTACTTATGCCTTCAAACATATACAATAAATTTAAAAGAGTTGTAAAAGAATCAACAGTTTGATTAAGTTGGGATTACATTATAGTTTAGTGTGTGTTTACATGTTCAGAATTCTTTTATACTAAAACCAAGCTATAACTAAAGTATTTCTTATTTCTGAGTTATACCAACACTTGGTTTGTGCTTTTCTAGAGACATGACATCTGGTTCATTCAACGTTTCATCATAATCTTTGTTCTTCATTTAATATATCAACTTTTTCCATTCCGCACTGTTTCTCTCTTCTGTGTCTCTTATCTTCTATTCTTCCCACCCTCTCTCCATCATTATCACTCTCTCTTTGACAATTTTTTTCTCTAACTCCATCTGTCCCTATCTACTTTCCTTCCATCTTTACCACCCTTCCTCCCTCCCTCCTTCGCTCTCTCCCTCCATTCATCCATCCTTCCTGGCCCTCTTTTCATTTATATCTCAAAACGTCTATCCCTCTCCTCCGCATTCCTTCCACCCTCCGTCTGCTTTCGTCTGTCTGCCCTCCTTTGTCCGTGTCTGTCTTCTTCTGTACATCTCTCTCTATCTCTCTCCCACGCTTTTCAATATTCCATCTCACTACCTTGCTTCTTCTGTCCCTCCATTCTATTCATTCTGCCTCTGCCTTCTTTTCTTTTCCATACACTCCAACGCTCTCTCCTTTCCATCCTCTCCCATTCTACATCTTTCCTTTCCACATTTCCCTTCAACCCCTTCCATCATCCAACCCTCTCTCCTTTACCTGTCTCCCTTGCTTTCAATCTCCTCTACATTGTTCCTCTATCTCTTAAACCCACTTTCAGCAACAACCCCACCCTCTCTTCTGTCTGTCCTGTCTCACTCTCATTCTCTCCTCACTCTCTCTCACCTTAGCAACAAAGACTGCTGAGACCACCGTCCAAGCCAGGCTTGCACCCCCGACAACCATGAATCTACGTTTTGTTGATGACTAAACACCCCACCGGGTGTTCAGGCCGACCTAGAACAAAAGTGAAGCCTCAATCAGTTGTGGTTCCAATCTGTTGAATTTATGTTATTTTTTTTTTATTGCAGCTGCTCTTGTTGTTACGTTTTGGCTTGTTGTCATTTATTGATGGAGTTCATTATTGCTGCAGACTGTTGTATCTCTGTTTGATGTTGCTGCTGCTGTTGTAATTATAATTTTACACAGTGTTGTTTGTATAGTTGTTATAAATGATGGTTAGTGGTTGTCCTCTTTAGGGATGTTGAGATAGTCCATGAGGCTTAGTGGATGTAGTGCTAGGCCTCTGTCTGCCACCCTGAACTTATACAGTTTGAAAACTCGGCCAGCCTTGGCTTGTCGTGTTTTTTTTTTTGATATTGATGTTGATGTTATTTATGTTATTGTTATTGGTTTTATTGTTGTCAATTTTGTTACTGCTGCTGCTTCTGTTGTAATAATCATTATTATTATGATTATTGTATAACTAAAGTGTGAAAAAATAAACATATAAGGAGTATAATGTGATGCTTTATTGACAACGTTTCGCGCACACAGTGGGTTTTATTAACTCACAAACAGATCTATATGGGTGAAAGGTACGTGAGTATTTATAGGATGAAGTCAGGTGGAGAATGTTGGGTAGGCTGGATCTGATATGGATTTGCACAGGACTGGCGGGTGCATGTGTAGTTATGTCGGATAACCATAACTTACCCAGTATTCTCCACCTGACTCCATCCTATAAATACTCACGTACCTTTCACCCAGTTAGATCTGTTTGTGACTAGATAAAGCCCACTGTATGGGCGAAACATTGTCAATAAAGAATCATATTATACTGCTTATGTGTTTATATTTCTGTTGTACAGGTATTTTTTACCATTTATTTCCATAAATAAAGTGTAATAAATACTTGTCAATATTCAGCAATAACTCATATGGATGCAAAAACTCAGAAAATTAATTAACTTGTATATTTCGACCTTTTTCCTGGATCCTGTACAGGAGATACGTAAATGGAAGGAAAACATAAACATTAAGAGAAGGTGCCATCTCGCCCGTACAAGAGAGTGCCAGTCGGGGATGTGTCAAGTAGAGTGGTCAAACAAGACAGGAATTGTGGTGAAGCCAGAAACTGGGGTTGAAAGTTCCTTTGTGTTATGTTATTCCTGTTCGGCTTATTCGGCAAACTGAACCCTGGCCAAATAAAACAAACTGAACGATTCGACATATATATATATATATATATATATAATATATATATATATATATATATATATAATATATATATATAATATATATATATATATATATATATATATATATATGCAAAACAACCACTCTGAAAGAATAGAGAAATTCCAAGCGCTTTCGTGACTACTCACATTATCATAGTTCCTTGATAATGTGAGTAGTCACGAAAGCGCATGGAATTTCTCTATTCTTTCAGAGTGGTTGTTTTGCATATTTTGAAATCACCTGTTTACTGTGATCTTATTGCATATATATATATATATATATAATATATATATATATATATATATATATAATATATATATATATATATATATATATATATATATATATATATATATATATATATTATTATATATAATATAATATATATATATATATATATATAATATATATATATATATATATATATATATATATATATAATAATATATATATATATAATATATACAAAACAACCACTGTGAAAGAATAGAGAAATTCCAAGCGCTTTCGTGACTACTCACATTATCAAGGAACAATGAAAGTAATGCATCAAAGGAAGGCAATAAAGGGTCTAGCACACACCTCACTATCACATCCCACAACAAAGCAACACCTGACGCGCGACTAATAAGAAAGGGAACGCTGCAGCAGGCTCGCTGGCCCAACTAAGCAGGTCCTTCACACAATCCATCAACAAACTATTCTACACAAGAATTAAGCATTTTAAAATTTATTATTTGTCCAACGCAAGATTCAATTATATTCCTGTCAACCATGGACTTGCTTGATACAACTTTTCAACTTTTTGAAAATCAATTGGATGGTTAAAATCTCTCACATGAATAAATAGAGCATTGGAATCTTGTCCAGTTCTAATGCTATATTTATGTTGTTTTAATCTAAGTTTGAGATTTTTACCAGTTTGACCGTAATAAACTTTATCGCAAATTTTACAAGGAATTTTATAGACACATCCGTCAGCATTTTAGGGGGAATTCTTCATCAAAAGTTTTTTTTACTGTATCAAGGTTTTTAAATACAACTTTGATTTTAAAAGTCTTAAGAAGAGAAGGCATATCAACCAAGTTTTCATGGTAAGGGAGAACCAACATATTTTTAGTTGAATAAGGCTAGTTGTCCCTTTTTGGATTGTAAAAAGTATTTCTAGCAATTTTAAAAGATTTATCAATTACGTTTCTTGGGTATTTCAAATCATTACCTATTTCATAAATTTTGGATATTTCTTCATCTATGAACTCTGGACTACAAATACGTAAGGCTCTCAAAAACATTGATGAGAAAACAGACAGTTTAACACTATCTTGATGTGAAGAATAATAGAGGACATAGGAACAGGTATTTGTAGGTTTTCTGTAAATTTTAAATTTTAATTCATTATTACCCTTAATAATTAAAACATCTAGAAAAGGCAATGAGTTATTTTCTTCAAACTCAACAGTAAAGTTTATAGAATGGGCTAAGCTATTTAATTTGCCAAGGAAATGGTGTATATCTACATTCTTGGGCATGAGACACAAAATATCATCAACATATCTGGACCATTAAGCTCTCTTAGGGAGGATTGTGTTAAGCAGCCTTGTTTCAAAAAATTCCATGTATAGGTTACTAAGAACAGGTGAAAGAGGATTTCCCATTGCCATACCAAACTTCTGAGTGTAAAACTTTTCATTAAATACAAATTTTGCATCAACAATGCAAAGTTTGATAAGTTTAATGATAGTAGGAACTGGCAAAGTAAATCATAATTAACGAGTTCTTCAGATAAGAAACTTAATAAATCATCAACAGGAACTTTCGTAAACAAGGAAGTAACATCAAAACTAACCATGCTAAAATCATTTAAGTCATTCAAGGAGCTTAATTTATCAACTAAATCCATGTTGTTTTTAACATTAAAGTTAGAAATTTTCCAACAATAGGGCTCAAAATGTCAACAAGCCATTTGGATAATTTATATGAAACTGATCCAATGGAGCTAATAATTGGTCTGACAAAAGGCTTTTGCAATTTCAACATTATTAAGCTTTTTTGAAGTTGCAAAACTTAGGGCAAAACCTAGAGCAGCCGTTGTATTTTTGTCTAAAATTTCATCTGATAAGTTAATTACAAAATTGTTATTAGCATGCTTTGTCCAATCACTATTTTCAATTAAAATGTCTAATTTTCTTTGTAGTTTGTTTTTGAGTTCATTACAAATTCTTCTGAGTTTATTATAGCAATGATCCAACATACTGTGTTTCCATTCTGATGGAATGGCCTGATTAAAAGAGCATTTTTTGTTTCTCAATATTTTGAATGCTTCCTTCTCCTGTATTTTAGTTATTTCAATATGTTTCTGAAGAATAATTCTCATAAAATCATCAAAAGGACGATCTCTCATGTCAAGGATGATATTGGGTAAAAGAGTCTTGGGCAGAACTTGCTCATTTAAAATTTTTTTTAAAAAATTAAGTCGATTTTTTAACTTGTGGGACTTGATCAGTGCAGAAGAAAACTGGGAAACAACAAACTACAAAGAAAATTAGACATTTTAATTGAAAATAGTGATTGGACAAAGCATGCTAATAATTTTGTAATTAACTTATCAGATGAAATTTTAGACAAAAATACAACTGCTGCTCTAGGTTTTGCCCTAAGTTTTGCAACTTCAAAAAAAACTTAATAATGTTGAAATTGCAAAAGCCTTTTGTAACTTTGAAAAATTTTCTGATTTATCCACTGATTTATCCACTGATTTATCCAAAGATTCTTTAAGTCTTATGTTACACTTAATAATCAATCTAAAATTTAAGCGCCTTACTAAGCAACAAAATAAAATGCAATAGTAATTATGAAAGAAAATGATTACTAAGAATAAATGAATAATCTCTTAGATGATCTGAAACCTATTCTAAACTTAGAAAAAATCCCCTAGAAACCGTTAACAGCAATTTCAATAAAACAATAAAACTTCTACTGAAAGACAAAGATGAATTAGTTCAAACAATTTACTTCCACAATCCATCTTTACCTTACATGTATGGACTAATAAAAACACACAAACCAGGGAATGCAGTCAGACCAATTATTAGCTCCAAAGGATCAGTTTCATTTATATTATCCAAATGGCTTGTTAGCATTTTGAGCCCTATTGTTGGCAAAATTTCTAACTTTAATGTTAAAAACAACATGGATTTAGTTGATAAATTAAGCTCCTTGACTGACTAAAATGATATTTAACATGGTTAGTTTTTGATTATTAACTTCCTTGTTTACGAAAGTTCCTGTTGATGATTTATTAAGTTTCTTATCTGAAGAACTCGTTAATTATGATTTACCATTGCCAGTTCCTACTATCATTAAACTTATCAAACTTTGCATTGTTGATGCAAAATTTGTATTTAATGAAAAGTTTTACACTCAGAAGTTTGGTATGGCAATGGGAAATCCTCTTTCACCTGTTTCTTAGTAACCTATACATGGAATTTTTTTGAAACAAGGCAGCTTAACACAATCCTCCATAATAGAGCTTAATGGTCCAGATATGCTGATGATATTTTGTGTCTTATGCCCAAGAATGCAGATATACACCATTTCCTTGGCAAATTAAATAGCTTAGCCCATTCTATAAACTTTACTGTTGAGTTTGAAGAAAATAACTCATTGCCTTTTCTAGATGTTTTAATTATTAAGGATAATAATGAATTCAAATTTAAAATTTACAGAAAACCTACAAATAACTGTTCCTATGTCCTCTATTATTCCTCACATCAAGATAGAGTTAAACTGTCTGTTTTCTCATCAATGTTTTTGAGAGCTTTGCGTATTTGTAGTCCAGAGTTCATAGATGAGGAAATATCCAAAATTTATGAAATAGGTTATGTTTTGAAATACCCAAGAAACGTAATTGATAAATCTTTCAAAATTGCTAGAAATACTTTTTACAATCCAGAAAGGGACAACCAGCCTTATTCAACTAAAAATATGTTGGTTCTCCCTTACCATGAAAACTTGGTTGATATGCCTTCTCTTCTTAAGACTTTTCATATCAAAGTTGTATTTAAAAATCTTGATACAGTAAAAAAAAACTTTTGATAAAGAATTCCCCCCAAAATGCTGACGGATGTGTCTATAAGATTCCTTGTAAAATTTGCGATAAAGTTTATTACGGTCAAACTGGTAAAAATCTCAAACTTAGATTAAAACAACATAAATATAGCATTAGAACTGGACAAGATTCCAATGCACTATTTATTCATGTGAGAGATTTTAACCATCCAATTGATTTTCAAAAAGTTGAGAAAGTTGTATCAAGCAAGTCCATGGTTGACAGAAATATAATTGAATCTTGTTTCATAAAAAGCAGTTTTGTCAATAATATGAATATTTCCTTTGGTTTATATAAATTAGATCCACTTATAATTAATAGAATTTTGGAAGAATTTAATAATGCGTTGGACAAATAATAAATTTTAAAATGCTTAATTCTTGGGTAGAATAGTTTGTTGGTGGGTTGTGTGAAGCACCTGTCTAGTTGGGCCAGCGGGCTTACTGCAGTGTTCCCTTTCTTATGAGTAGCGCGTCGGGTGTTGCTTTGTTGTGGGATGTGATAGTGAGGTGTGTGCTAGACCCTTTATATGCTTTCCTTTGATGCATTACTTTCATTGTTCCTTGATAATGTGAGTAGTCACGAAAGCGCTTGGAATTTCTCTATTCTTTCACAGTGGTTGTTTTGCATATTCTGAAATCACCTGTTTACTGTGATCTTTTTGTCCTGAGGTACGTTTATCGTCTTCTCTGTGGATGAGGGTCCCCATTCCAGCTATATTATATTACATATATAAATATATATATATATATATATATATATATTATATTATATATATATATATATAAAATATATATATATATTTTTATATATATATTATATATTTATAATATTATATATTATATTATATATATATATTATATATATATATATATATATATATAAAATATATATATAAAATATATATATATATATATATATATATAAAATATACATTTTAATATATATAATATATTATATTTAAATAATATATATATATATATATTATATAATATATATTATATTATAATATATATATATACAATATATATATATATATATAAATATATATATATATATAGTATTGCAACGGTGAGGTTATGTTTGTGAAAAATGCTGGGGTTTTCCAGAATGACAACATTTACGTAGAGTGAGAATCCCCTCCTTGACATGATTAGAGAGTGTTGAGATGTGTTCTGTACACGTCGTGCCCCACGGCCAGTTTCAAGTCAGGTTGTGTCAGTTTTACCTCTGGGCATTATTTCGCAAAACACTGAGCCCAAGGGCCCATAGTTAGACTACCCAGGTCTGGACTAACCCAGCCTCTAATAGGAAGGATTTTGAGGTAATATTGTATTACAATTTCGTTTAGAGGCATCAACGAAACACACTGAATACTTCCCGCGGCCAGGAGCTTTAACAGTAGATCTATTCTTACCCCTTCATAGCCACATTTTCTATGAAATCAAATTAAGTTATTTAAACAACTCTTGATAAATAAACCCGAAGAGTGGACAGGGGCTCGAACCGCGGTCCACATATTGACAGTCCGACGCTCTACTGTAACCCAGGTTTTAATAGGAAGGATTTGGTGGGTAAACTTATTGTATGCAAATAACCCGCACATTTGGAAAGGAAGCTTAGACAACGTTTCGCTCCGACTTGTGACTATTTACAAGTCACACTAACACGATGGTGAGGGAGCCAGTTTATATAGAAGGAGACAAGGACTGAACACAGAGAGGAAGAAAGAAATATGTGGAGAAGTAAAGGTACAAGTAAGCTGTAGTAAAAAATAGTAGAAGTAAATAGGAGAGTAGTGGGACAAGAGGAAACGAAGGGAAGCATTATCAGTAGAAGTAGTAGTAGCAGTGCTAGTAATGGAGTAGAAGAAGTGGTAGAGTTAGTAGTGGAGTAAGTCTAGGTACAATGGTACTTCATAGGTGCACCCACTTGCACAAATAACACGTGTTACAGCAACTAACCTGCTGGCACCACGTGGAAAAGACATGGGTGAACCATTCTGCCTACCAGGTTCTGGGCCCAGCACTGAAGAGTACCGTAGTCTTGATGGGTCCTCGCCACGAACTGTACCACACTCCCACCATCTGCAAGTGTAGTGAATATTTTGGTAAAGGTAGTGATGAGAGTGAGAGAGAGAGAGAGAGAGAGAGAGACAGGCAGACAGACAGATAGACAGACAGACAGAGAAAAAGACAGAGGAAGAGAGGAAGAGAGTAGCTGGGAAGTTATTTCAGGGATATTAATGTTTCACTTTGTTTCTTTTTCAACGTTTACAAGGTTTTTTTTTCGTGTTGTCGTGTTGTCAATGCGTTGTTGCCATATTTTGTGTAACAGAATAGAGGCTCTGAAGAAACATCGTCGGGCGGGAAAAAACGCCTAGTGAAATTCACAAAATGATTCAGAAATCATTTGGTAATGAAGCAATGGGACGGACACTGTTTTAAATGGTTTTCTCAATTCAAAGTAGGACAAACACCAGTAGAATGATGAATACTCTGGCTGTCCATCAGTGTCAAAAACAGGTGACAACACTGAAAAAAGTTAGGAAGGGTATTCACAAAGATCGTCATCAAAGTCTCAATTATATTTCAAGTGCTATGGCTCGTTTAAAAGCATTTTGAATAAAAATTTGAACATGAGGCGAGTGGGTGCAAAATTTGTGCCTCGCTTCTTGGCTCCAAAACCAGAAGGGCGATAGCTTGAAATTTTGTCAGGACCTCAAAAAACAAGTCAAAAATGACCCAGAGACCAAGTAACAGTCTAAAGAAGTCACACCAAGTCAAGAGCAATGTCAAGGGCATGCTATTTTTTCCTTTGTTTTTTAGTTTAAGGGAATCGATCATCAGTGCAGACAGGAACCACATTTCCTCCTCAGTCTACATATTCTTTCTATAATGTCACATTCTAACTATTATTTTATCATCATTAAGCAGATGGTATATTCTTTCTGACCAAGAGTGAGGACAGTCTGCATCACAACCACTCCACTGAACAGCATATCTAAAACGTCTCCTGTGTTCACCTCTTCAGAGCTTTATCAACTCTTTCTTCTTTTAGGCACCACTGTCATTTCTGCAATTCTTCTTGGGTATTATGGGTGGTTATTAACCAGGGATGAGACGGAGCTATGAAAAATCTGCAATCATCTAATAAACACACACTGAGAAAGGAATTTAGGAGAGCAACTGGAGGCGGTGAGGGTGAGGAAAAGCCCTGTGCCTCTGTAAACACGCGACCCTTCGGCCAACTTGAAAAACGTGAAAAAAATCCACGGATCCATCACCAAGATTTATTGCGTAAAAGACGTCACTTTTCCCATTGTTTGTATGAAAAATTTATTATATATAACGTCGCTTTATATATGTTGCATATTTCTGCCTGAAAGTGCGACATTCATTAACAGACTGGAACAACGAAGAAAGTGAACGTCATGTTACTGACAGAGCCGTAATTTACTGAAGACATGATCGAGATTGACCAGTACGATTAGCACCGTTTGATATGACAATGGCAGAAACAAGAGAGTAGAGGAGTAGGCTGAACACCCAGAAGAACCTCAGAGATGCTATGAACCCCCACGATGTTAGCTTGTGATGAATTGGAATAAACTTATGAAACCAAAATCTATTCAGGAATTAAAAATTAATTTTTTTACCATTACCAGAAAGTTGTAAATCTGTTAGTCATACAACGTCTGAGGAATGTGGTAAGTCAGATTTGGCTGCAGGAAAGGAATGATAATTAAGAGTCCTTGAGGCAAACGGCCATCAGCAGCATCAAGAAATCACAATGAACGTTTAAAAGAAACAAGACAGAAACCAAGGTTCCTATTTCATAGTAATGTAAGAAACAAGACCCTTTAGCTAATAATGTACCCCTTCAGGCGCTTCTCACTGAATACACACAAACTTAAGTTGCGACCAATAAAGTGTAAAATAAAATGAAGGAATTATTTTTTTTAACATATCGCGTACTGATAAGTACTTGAGGCAGCTCTGAGTATAACAGAAAAGTTTAAAATTAATTTAGATAAAATAATTCATATGTGTAAATTAAATCTTTAAAAGACGTTCCCCGGGGTGTTTGAAGTTCTCTAATTTTTGACATGACTGATTGTTGTGGATTCCAATCTGGTTGCTGCATACTCCTTGTTATGGAAGGCAGACTCGTAGATGGTATTACAGAGTGTCTTATACCGAAGCTTATGAGTCGTATCGGTACTCTATCCGTTGCTTTGCCAGGCGCCAGTATGCTGCAGCAGTTATTGATTGATGTGTGCCTCAGGAGTAAGATATGCTCGGTGTTAAACTCAACCCCCAGATCGGTTTTCCTTGAGTGGGTTTGACAGTCTTGGCCATCTAAAACTATATTGTGTCTGCGGTCTTCTTTGCCCTTCCCCAATCTTCATGAATTTGCATTTGGCAGGGTTAAATTAAAGGAGCGCGTTGCTGGACCAGGATTGTAGCCTGTCCAGATCTCTGTTGTAGTCCTCTTCTAGATCCTCGTCGATTTGATTCGTCTCATTAACTTCGCTTAATCTGCAAACAAGCGTACACTTCTTGAGTCTATCACTTCCGTTATTGTCGTTCACATATACCAAGAACAGAAACAGGTCCTAGGACTGACCCTGTGGAACCCCGCTTGTCACATGGCGCGCCCACTCTGACACACGTCTCGTACCATGACTTAGTTGTTGCCCCCTGTCAGATATTCTTCTGATCATTGCAGTGCTTTTCCTGTTATGTGTGCCTGTATCCTCTAGCTGTTGCAGTAACCTCTTGTGAGGAAACTGTTGTCGAAGGCTTCTTGCGAGTCCAAAAGATAGCAGTCGACCACCCATCTCTCTATTGTCTTACTTCTGCACCCTTGCTCATAAAACTCTAGTAGGTTTGTGATCACAGGGTTTTCTTCCCGAAACGTGCTGGTTGTCAATTTTAACTTGTTTTCTATCCTTCAAGGTGCCCCACCACTCTCTCCTGCATGATTCTTCTCCTGACCTTGCATACTATAAACGTTAGTGTTTCTAGTTGTCTCCGTCTGTAGTTATGTGATCCTCTTGTCTGTTCTCACTTTTTTTATTTGGGATAAATTTGACATTTTCCTTACCTCAGGGAGTTGTCCAGTTTCAAGATTGATGTGTTGAAAGTATCGTTATGTTAAATTGGCTCACGTCACCACAATATCTCTGTCCCTTTAAGGACCCATGGAGAGATGTTGTCTGGTCCCACCGCCTTTGAGGTGTCAAGTTCGCATAGCTGCTTATTACCACCTGCCTACCTTGGATTATATGTTACGTCATCCAGTTTACTTGTGATGTGCCCACGTTCTGATTTCTTGGAGTCCATACTGGTTTTCTATGTATATACCTCTTTAAATCCTTGTGTTGAGATCCTGGGTACAAACCTCTCGGTCGTTTCTTTGTGAATTCCCCATCCACCCTTCCTCAGTCTGATTACCTGGTCCTTGACTGTAGGTTTTCGTCCTGTTATGGGTCTGTAACACTGTTTTTCGGGTCTTAGTTCGTTACTTTTTGATGCTATGTCATTTTCATATTGTCTTGAGCCTCCCTTTTAACTGTGCTATTCGTTTCTGGGCCTTCGGCTGATTTCTTTATTTTCCTGAGTTCTCTTCGTCTTCTGTACCTGTTCCCATTCTCTAGGTTACACGTAGTTTTTGCCTCCTACACCTTTGGGTGAACCAAGGACGCGATTGTTCTTCCCTTTTCCATTATTTTCTTTTCCTTCGGGAACAAACCTTCCTCTGCCTCCATGCATTTTGTTGCTACATAGTCATCATTTCTTGGAACTGGTTTTTCCTGTCAGTTCCCTCTCCACTGAATGGTCTTGAAGGAAGTTCCTCATCGCCTGAGTCGTTACCCCCCTTTTGTAATGTTTGGTTTTCTTCCCAGCCTATTCCTGTAGCTCTCCTCCCTACTTCGGGTCGAGTAACTCATAACTATGGCTATAAGTTCGTTAAATATATTATAGGAACAAGAAACCACATACGATCCGACTAGCTCCCAATGGGGCCCCTTTCATACAGATACCGCTCGTGTCCGAACTACTCATGGTGTGAATACCAGGTCCAGCCTTGCTGTTCTTCCTCTCCTCTCTCTCTCTGGTAGTAGTGTCTTGACTTGTTGATGCATGAGGTTTTTTTCCTAAGTATTACATCCATGATCTTTGGCCTACATGTTTTCGGGAACCCCCCATGGGGCTCCAGGTTTTCCAAGTACAATCTCCTTGTGATTGAAACTAACCCATAACTTGTAACTTTCTCCCCAATGGTGCTTCTCCTGGCCACACCTCGGATAGTGTTTTGTAGATCATTGCTTCTGTTGCTCTATTCAGTTATTCTTCTCTTGGCCTCATGCAGTCTGTGGTGGGTTGCTACATTACTGCATATTTATCACCTTATGTCCCTCAGACTGGATTGTCCAACTAAAGTAGGGGTTTTCCCTTTTCTCCCGGTGCATCATTCCTTCCATTTTCTCAAAACCCCACTGGGTTTTTTTAATGAGCAGTGCAACTCCATCCTACCCTCTCCTCCTCTGTCTTTCTGAGAGGATTTGATATCCGGAGGAAAGATTGAATCTGTTAATATTATGGGGAGTTTTGTTTCATGTGAGTGCTATTTGTCTGGGGGGATGTCTCTCTTGATTCTTTCAGTGCCACTCCTTTACTTGTTTGTATTTCCATATGCATTTGTATTACCACACCTTCAACTTTTTTTCTAAGATGTGGTCTGGAAGGATCTTTTTGGGGGATTGGCGGAAGTGGTGAAACCTGGATAAGGAACTATGGGTTGTGCTGTGGGGGTGAGGAGTTTGTAATGTAGTGAACGTGGGGGCAAGTGGATGTGGCATCGGGAGTTTTGATTTAGAGTGTTTGGTTGCAATTGACGAGTTGGACCTGGTTTCGGAGGCCCTTCTATGGAAGTTGTGAGGGAGGCTGTATTTTGATCTTCTTCCTGGGTACATGGGCATCTCATGTCAGTTCTTCTCCAGATCCCCTCCTCTTTCCTTCCTTTCGCCTTTTGTACCATCTCTACTAAGTTTCTGACACTTTCTTTCTTGTGTTCTGTCGCGGTCGAGATTAGATACACCTTACTGTATGCCGCAGTCCCTTAATAGTGCTTTCTCTTGCAGGATCTGGTCTGAGTCGCTTCTGCTTGAGGGATCTCTCTCTCTGGCGGGTTTCTTGTTTTACAAATCCCTAGTCCCCCCTCCCTGATAAAAATTTTCCAGCTG